AAATAACCATCCAACTGACCTACCCTTAAGTAAACTATGTACAAGGCAGGTACATATGTTTTCCATTTCATATTTATAACAAACCTAGTTATTATTCTTACTGTCTCCTTTAAACCCAGGCTCAGGGAGATTAAGTACTGGCTCAAGGTGTCAGCACTAGAAAGTAGCAGTGCAGAGGTTTGAACTCCGTGCTTTCTGACTCCTACCTTTAGCACTTAGGCATTCAAATACACTGGCCCATGCCGCCAATGAAAGCATGAATAAGAGTTTACCGTTGAATATCTACGTGCAAAGAATATACCCTTATATCACACACAAAAATTAATTTAAAATGGATCAGACTTACAGAGAAAAGATAAAACTATAAAAACTTTTAGAAAAAGCACAGGAGTAAATCCTCATGACCTTCTGTTATGCAATGGTTTCTTTTTTTTTTTTCTTTTTTTTTTTTAAATATATTTTATTGATTTTGTACAGAGAGGAAGGGAGAGAGATAGAGAGTCAGAAACATCGATGAGAGAGAGTCATCGATCAGCTGCCTCTTGCACACCCCCTACTGGGGATATGCCCGCAACCAGGGTACATGCCCTTGACCGGAATCGAACCCGGGACCTTTCAGTCCCCAAGCCGACGCTCTATCCATTGAGCCAAACCGGTCCCGGCTGCAATGGTTTCTTAAGATGTGACATTAAAAGTACAAGAAATAAAAGAAAAAATGATAAACTGGACATAAAAATTGAAACCATTTGTGCCTCAAATGATACTATCAAGAAAGTGAAATACACTCTATAGAATATAAAAACAACAACTTGCAAATCACATCAGATAAGGAACTCCAAATAACAAACTCTTAAAATGCTACAGTGGAAAAATAAGCTCAATTAATCAACAGGCAAAAGATGTGCACAGACATTCCTCCAAAAAAGATATACAAATGCTAATATGCACATGAAAAGATGACCAATGTCCTCATCACTAGGGAAACATAAATCCACTTCAATTCCCTAGGATGGACATAATGAAAAAGACAGACAATACCAAGTCTGGGTGAGGATGTAGAGAAACGGGCATCTTCTCTCATTACTGATAAGAATGGTGCGGCCACTTTGGAAAAGTTTGTAAGTTCTCCAAAAAACAAAAATAAAAAACGGAGCAACTAAAATGTCATCAGTGGGTGAATGAATAACCAAATGGTATCTCCATACAACGGAACAGTTTGTTAATAAAAAGGACTGAAGTACTGGAACATGCTACAACAGCGATGAACCCAAAAACCATTATCCTAAGTAAAAGCTAGCCACAAAAGACCACATAACGATGATTCCGTTTCTATAAAATGTCTAGAATAAGCAAGCTTATACAGAGAAATTAGTGGTTGCAAGAGGGGGTGGGGAGACACTGATGGCTAACGGGTACTGAGTTCTTTTGGGGCTAAAGCAAGTTTAAAATTGACCATGGCAATGGTTGCACTCTTTAAATATAGCAAAGCCCACTATCTAGCCTATTTTAAATGCACAAAATTTATGATAGGTGAATCGTTATCTCAATAACAATGTTAAAAAACAAACCAACCAAAAGGGTTGACCAGTGGTTGTGAGACCACGAGAATCTCGCTCTGGGTCACTCCCAGCCCACAATCCTCTGGACATTGTTCCACCGCATGGACAAGTGCAGGCCGGTCACCTTCCTCCCCCTGGGGGCAGGGGTAGCAAAATTACAGCACCTCCTCCACAGGCATCCATCTGGTCAGCATGATGCAAGCTCTGTTATTTTTGGAATGCGCGCTGGGATGTGCTTGTGCCCTAACCTGCCGAGGGCCCAGACGCCTACAGCTGGTGGAGCGCGGGCAGCAGCCCTCGCAGCTGCTGAGTGGGCAGGAAAGGGACCTAAACTGCAAGGGAGACTGCTCACAGCGGCTCAGACATTATCCTGTGACAAAACGTATGCACGACATGGGCCATCTTCCTCACTCCCGAACTCCTCCCGCCTCCCACCCCAATGAGAGCCTGCTATTCTAGGTCAGCGTACTTTAAATATCGGTGCAGTATGAATCAACGAGAGTTACATAACAATCGAGCAGGAAGGACCTTTAAACGCATTATGCAATGGAGCACGAACTCGGGAGCCACTGACTGTGTGAGCTTGGCCACTTCCTCTACCTTTCCGAGTCTCAACTGTCTTCATCGGGAAAATGGGAACAAAACAGGCAGCTGCTTCCTAAAACTGTGGTGAAGATTAAAGGAGCGGATCCAGGTAAAAGCTTTATATTATTAACTAGTAAAGCTCTCCTTTAACGGGAGAAGACACTAACGCTCAGAAAGGGCAGCGGCAGTGATGGATCTGGTGAGACTTCAGGTCTCCGACTCCCTAACTCGGTGGTCGGCAAACTGCAGCTCAAGAGCCCCATGTGGCTCTTTGGTCCCTTGAGTGTGGCTCTTCCACAAAATACCACGGCCTGGGTGAGTCTGTGTTGAAGAAGTGGCGTTAGAAGAAGTTTAAGTTTAAAAAATGTGGCTCTCAAAAGAAATTTCAACCGTTGTCCTGTTGATATTTGGCTCTGTGGACTAATGAGTTTGCCGACCACTGCCTTAACTAATGTTCCACTGCAGAGCACTCCTCACTCACCCCAGGGCATGGCCTAGCCCTGGGCTAACCTTCAGGGCTGTCAGACACAATGACAAGCACGCAGCGCCTGGCTGCTCGGTCTCCCACAGGGAGGTGTTTGTGAAACATGTAACCCACTCCCTTTTCACTGCAGGTTTAATCTCCTAAAGAGAGGATGTGACACTGAATTCCAGAACATCCAAGGTGCAGTGCTCCCGGGCAGGATGGCTCAGGGCTGCTGAGGAAAATAACCCCTAGCTTTTCCTCCCGCCCTCTCCTCTGAAGGAGCACAAGGTACCTGAGGATGTGGTACATTCGGGAAGATAGACTTTTCTTCCTTTTTAAATAAATATTTTAGTGGCATATTCATGCAAGCAGTTTGGAAATTATTCTCAAGGCATGATGTTTTCAACTTTTAGTAACTGATGCGCATTAATTTAAGAGGCAAGAGAAGCTCACAAACAAACTACATTTGACAAAATACAAGAAATGGAGCCAAGGTAAGCTTTAAGCTTTTAAACGATATCTCTCTCTCTCTACACACACACTCCACAGTGTCTAAACCAGCGGATGGGGCCCTGCAGCACCAGGCCTCCCTCTTCCACCTTCCAGCATGCAGGTCTCCTTTCCTTTCCTCAAACGCATTGTCCATCCAGCTTAGTCCTTCACGCTGACATTCCCTGCACAGAGCAGGTCCTTCCTTACAGCCTCCATCCGCACCTCGGCCTTGGCCTCGTCACCTGCTAGCTTCAATTGACCACTCAGGCTCACTCACACCTTTTCCTCCAAGAAGCCTTCCCCAATGACCCCGACTAGTCTCTCTTCTCCCCTCTCCCCAATGGACACACACTTGGAACAAGCGTCTAAGCACTTATCAATGACTGTCCCCCCCTTCCCCACAAACGCTGGTTACCAGTGTAAGCTCAAGGAAGGCGGGGCTGTGTCTGTCTTGTGCAAGGTGCTTACTCGGTGCCCAACTAGAACAGGCAGTGAAGGAAATCAGCAACACTCTCCAAGGATTCAGAGGAGTAGCTGCTACAGTGACTTCCTAACGTCCCCCCTCAAATGTGATACAGGCACCCCACATCAGGGTGTGTCCACGACAGAAACATGCGAGCCACACAAGCGGTTACATACTGTGTTTTGGAGAAAAACTCACTTCTAGCCACACTATGCACGGGAAAGAGGTTCTGGGCACACCTACCAGAGCACTCAGCTGTGCAACCTCGTTAAAGTCACCTGCCACGAGTCCTCCCGGACACAGCGTCCCTACAGCACCCAGAGCACCAGACGGACACCACGGTCTCCAAAAGGCTGTCCCGTCCGGGAGGACGGAACACACATCTCCTTGACTCTAACTCAGAGAGACTGGGACTGTTTACATGGTTTCACATGCGTTGCTATTCGAATTGAGCATGCCTCACTCACGTCCCATAAATAAAGAGTATAATTAAAAAAAAAAAAAAAAGTGCCTAGCACAGTTTCCAGCACACAGAAAGCATTTATTAAAAACTGGTTGCACAAATGAAAAGAAGGAGGAGGAGGAAGAGGAGGAGGGGGAGAATTAGAATTAGAAGAAGAAGAAGAAAGAAGAAGCTTGTTCTGAAATAAGAAGCAGCAGCAGCTTGTTCTGAATCACATTCCCAGCTGAAGAGCAGTCACGACCTTTCCAGGATGCGAAGGAAGCCTTCCACAAATTGGAAAGGGGCGGGCTACGGTTTTTAGCCGATCGCGGGGCAAGAAAACAGCTGCTCCTGTTGGCATTGATTCTGTGGGCATTTCCGAGTCTGTAAAACAGACAGGCATGCTCAGTGCGAAAGCCCAAAGCCTGGCGCAGACTGGGCGCCCCGACACGGCTGAGAGGGAGCTCTGGCGCCAGCGAGGTGTGCACGCAGATGGCTCTGAAGGTGCAGGAGGCAAGTGCCTGCCCTGGGGCCTCTTCTTCTTCAAAAGGGGTCCCCCCAAACCCCCACACACCTCGCCCCTCCGCCCCGTGCTGTACAAGTTACTTCCAGCTCTGATCGAACCCTCCCAGCCCATCTGGTGGCCGTGAAAGATCAGCTCCTCCGCCAGAATACAGCGCCCCCTCCCGATGCCCCCGAGGGCATCGCGCCCCTCAGGTCACCCCAGATCTCCCCTCAGGTCACCCCCAGCCTCCGGGCTGCCTCGGTTTCCTCGGAAGGGAAAGGGCAGCAGCGATGGCCCTCGCCCAGCCCCTCGGGGGAGCGTGTCCGTACAGCCCGGGAGACACTGTCCGGGGAGGGACGCGCTTCGGGGGACACCATCCCGGTCCGCACCGGCCTCCGTGGTCCCAGGGGGGCCGCGCCCCCGACCCCGGGGACAGCCGCCCACGTCGCCCTCCGGCGGCTCAGACAAAGGCGCGGGCACCCGCTCACCGCTCAGGTAGTTGGTCCACTTGTACAGCACCCCCTCCATGGCGCGGGCCGCGCTCCCCGGCTCGCGGCCCTCACTGCTCCCGGCCCCCGGCGGCGAGGAGCGCCGGCCGCAGGGCCATCGCCCGGCCCGCTGCGCTGCGGGGACGCCCGGCCGGTCACATCGCCGCCCGGGGGCGGGGTCACTGCGGCGGCGGCCTCGGCACGTGAGGGCAGGACAGGGGCCGGCGCGCCTCCGCTTGCTCGGGGGCCGGAGGGGCGGCGGAGCCTTCCTAGAGCCGCGAGCGAGGCAGCGGGAAGCCGGCGGCGGCGGCGGCGCGGGCACCGCGCGCTCCCGGAGTCCCCGACCAGCCGGGCCCAGGTCCTCTCGCGCATGCCCAGTGCACCGCGGGCGCGCCTGGAGCGAAAATCCACGCCGGGTTTTGGCGGTGATGAAAGGGGCGGGGCTTCGGGAGATAGTGGGGCCCGCTGGGAAATGGAGTCCTCGGAGGCGGGCAGGGGCGGAAGTGCTGGAGGCCGAAGGAGGAGGGAAGGAAGCCGCCGGGTGGGACAGGTGTGGGGAGCGCTCCCTGGGAACGGTGCAAAAGATAGGTCGGGTCCCACCTCGCGATGTTTGGGGGTTCACGGGGTCCCTGATGAGGCGGCCCCTGGGTTCTGGTCCCCAGGCGATGTCAAGGCTGTCGATTGGTCCTGCACATTTGAGGGACCCAACAATAGGGCTTACGGAGATGACGGGAGGTCCGCGACAGAATGCTGTGTGGCCAGCGAGAATGCAATGTCGAAATGCTAAGGCCTGGCCCCTAGAAATGTGGTCCGTGGACGGCAGCATTGGCCTCACCTGGGAGCTCGTCGGAATTACAGAATCTCGCCTCTCGCCCCAGCCTCCCAAATAGAAATCTGCATGGGGTTCCTATGCCTATGAAAGTGTGAGAACGTTCTGGGCTAAAGATATCTGAGCAGGGAGAATGTTCACTACAGATGAGTGGAAAGAGCAGGTTACGAAACAAAGTGTACAATGGGATCCAAAGTATTTTAGGCACATGTTACGGAAGCACGGACCAACATGATAAGATTATTTGCACCGTTATAGGCGATCTCCCCCCTACCCCCTTTCTTTTCTTTTCTTTTCTTTTCTTTTCTTTTCTTTTCTTTTCTTTTCTTTTCTTTTCTTTTCTTTTCTTTTCTTTTCTTTTTGTTTAGTGTAAGGTTTATTTGCCGTATTGAGCAAATAAAAACACAGAACAATTGGTTGTTTATCTGAAATTCAAATTGAATCCAGCTCCTGTAGTCTAACTGGAAACCTTACTTTAGTGCTTTACACTTTCTTCCGAATCGAGAAAAATGAATACGTACTGCTTTTGAAATTAGGTGGAAGATGTAAAACTGAAACATTTTCAGCTGAGATGAACCTATGTTAACTCGTAGGATTACCATTTCTTCTCAGAGTGGAAGTGGGACGTGCTTATCCTCAACAGAAGCTGTTACCGATCCTCTGGAGTAAGAACATCTAAGTGATAAATTATTAGTAGCCATAAGGCTATACGGCGTTGGAGAATACGCCAGACCTGATTTGAAGGCGGAGCTCAACTGCTTCGGCGCTGATAACCTTAAACTGGACTCTTGATCTCTCCTAGCTTAACTAAACGTATTTCATATGGGATAAAAGGCTGTGTAGTAAAGATCACGCACGGGAACTTTGGGAACCCTACAGCGCGGTGTAAGTCTTCATCGTTTATACCATCAGTTACATAGTAAGCAATCGCAGGAGTCTATGGATTGTGAAATTTTGGGGGCTTCTCACCCACGGCGAGAATAAATGAGTATTTCCGGAAAGTTCTACAGTTTTCACAAGGCCCCAGGAATCTTCTCTCCTCACTCAGTCGAGGTACTTGACACGTGCAAATCTGCCAGGGGAGTTTCCGGGGTAGCTCCGCGCCCCGCACCTCTTTTCCAAAATTCCCAGCTGCGGAATCCCTTCATCCGCCGGGCTCTAGGACCGCTCCTGGTGGTTCGCCCCCTCTCCCGGCGACTCCGGCTCCAGAGGGCGGTAAATTACATTCTTGCAACGTCATTGGCTGGTAGGTGCCTGAGCGACAGCACTTCCAGCCAATGGGAGGCCGCCATTCGCAGGCGCCCACGTAGTCAGAGCCACTCCGGCTCGGCGTTTGGGTTTAACCCTTTGGAGGCGAGCTCGCCGCGCGTGGGAAAGTTGCCGGCGGTGAACGTGCCACGTTGCTAGGGAGGGAGAGTCATGAACTTGCCGGAGGCCGCCGTCCTGAAGCCATCAGCTTTTTTATCCTTAACTCGGTGAGGTCCGGGGCCCTTCCTCCGTGTCGGCGGGAGTTTCTTTCCCGCTCCGGCGACATGAGGCTCTTCTTGTGGAGCTCGGTCCTGACGCTGCTGGTCCCAGCGCTGAGCGGGGCGCTGATCCCCGAGCCGGAGGTGAAGATCGAGGTGCTGCAGAAGCCGTTCATCTGCCACCGCCAGACCAAAGGCGGGGACCTGATGCTGGTCCACTACGAAGGCTACTTAGAGAAGGATGGCTCCTTATTTCACTCCACGTAAGTAACCCTGCCCCGCTGGCACAGCAACCAAGAGCCCGCCCACCCCTCCCAGCGCCTGGGCAGGACAGCTAGCGCGCACCAAGTTTTACCAGATAAAACAAAACAAAACAAAACAAACAAAACCCCCTGAAATATCTCATTTTCTCCTTTGGGGGAAAGGAAGTGGTTTAAAGCCAGTCTTCTGTAAGGTGATCTTTGCAGGTCTTATGGGAAACAGGTTGTCAAGAGAAAGAAGGACCCTTTATTATTAGAAAATAATTTTTATGATTACGAAAATTATAAAGTGATTATAAAAATTAGACCTCGGGTCCTCCATGTCTCAGAATCAAAACTCTAGGTGGACTCCAGGTGAGAGTCCCGGGCTGCTTTTGAGCAGTTTGCTCCTGAAGTCTGGTAACTGCTGAGGGCACTGTTGTCTGCAGCCTCCGTGTATGTCAGTAGTCAGGAACTGCCTGCCTGGGGGATGGTGAAGAAGGACCATGAATGGGCCCGTGTATAAAGCATGTTTGCCCTTTCTAGAACCATAGCCTACGTGGTAAACAAATAAAGGCTTAACCCCCTTTGCGGTGAGAAGAAATGTGCCCAAACTGCGGTCTGTTGGGTGAGAGGTTCTTTTTTCCTTTTTTTCCTACCCTTCCTGGATTTCCTACAATTGGAACAAAAGTTCCTTTGATCGTGGGAGAAATGGAGGAAAAGAGGAAGTAATAGGCTTTCTCTAGACTGAATGAAACCCCGTAGGGTGCCTTCCCTTCTCACCTCCTAGATACACTTGCTAGAAGAACCCCTTCCTACTCTGCTCAGCCCTCAAGCCCCCCAGTAGCTCCGCAGCTGGCTTTTTTTTCTCCGGCTGGCCTTCCTTTCGCTCATGAGCCAGTATATCCTGACCCTCCTCTTCTTCCTCGGCCTCGAGGGGCCATTCCTCCAGGCTTTCCTGCACAGCCCCACAGTAAGCCCCTCACGGGGAGAGGAGGGCAGGGTCTGAGTGGGGATAAAGGGTGGGCTAGGTGGAAGAGCTACAGAGCTGTCCGCAGGCTGTACAGAAGGAGAGTTTGTAGCCATGTGAGAAGATCCTGACTCTCAGTGTCTGTGTGGGGATGGACACGTGTGTGGGCCAAGAAGCAATAGTAGCTAATGTTGAGGGTAAATTCTCTCTAGCCCCCATCCTCCTCCCCAAACTCACCCACTTTTTAAAAAATATATATATTTTATTGATTTTTTTTTACAGAGAGGAAGGGAGAGGGATAGAGAGTTAGAAACATCGATCAGCTGCCTCCTGCACACACACCCCCCACTCCCCCGGGGATGTGCCCACAACCAAGGTACATGCCCTTGACCGGAATCGAACCCAGGACCTTTCAGTCCGCAGGCCGACACTCTATCCACAGTCACCCACTTTTAACTATTCCTCTCCCTCTTCTCCTCGTAGTCTTCCTGGGACAACATCCCTCTGTGATTAAGACCTTGAACTTTGTAGTTAAGTCAAATACTGGCGCACTTAACCGCAGATTCCTCACCTACAAGATACACTTGCAGGGAAAAACGGTACTTTCGCCATAGGATCATTGTTAGAATTAAAAGAGGAAAAGTGTTTGGGGTAATACCTGGTATATGGTAAATGCTCAAGTAATTGTTTAAGCCCTGGCCAGGTAGCTCAGTTGCTTAGAGCATCTTTCTGATACACAGAGGCTGAGGGTTAGATTTCTAGTCAGGGCACATACAATAAGCAACCAATGAATTCATAAATAGGTGGAACAACAAATTTCTCGGTCTCTCTCTCTCAAAAAACAACAATAAAAAAACAACATAAAACAAAACAGTAACATATTTTAAAAATAATATTTGTTTATTGTTTTTATTATTATGCCAACTGCACTTCTCTAGCTAAGTCAACAGTGAAATGTGCATCAAGAAATTTGGGCAGTGAATTGAATTATATCATAAAATTGACGTGTGTGTGTGTGTGTGTGTGTGTGTGTGTGTGTGGCTGTTTTCATTAGTTTCCAAATTTAATCGCTATGGGTGGGGAGAATGTACTACAACAATAAAAAAGTTACTACAATGTTCTAATGTGTTTTCTTCCTATTGTAGCCACAAACATAACAATGGCCAGCCCATCTGGTTTACCCTGGGCATCCTGGAGGCTCTCAGAGGCTGGGACCAGGGCTTGAAGGGCATGTGTGTGGGAGAGAAGAGAAAGCTCGTCATTCCTCCTGCCCTGGGCTATGGGAAAGAAGGAAAAGGTAATAACCATTCCACATTTTCCTGTGGCACTAGAGTTCTTTCTAAAGGAGACAGAAGTCACTGTAGCTACTAGGTATGTTTCCCCTCTAGCAGGAAATAGAAAATTTGTATTTCTTTGGGAAATATCATTATATCTTGCTTATTATTTGAAATGGCTGATTTAAGCCGTAAGCTAACAAATTTGAAATGGCCAACTAAGCTAGCAATGAAAAAAGCTCTAATATTATCCACTTTGTTCACAATCTGATGGCTTCTTCTGTGTACGGGTGTGTGGTACAGCATTCATAACAGAATATTTACCGTTTCAGCCATTTTTAAGTGTACCATTCAGTGCATTAAATACATTCACATTGCGGTGCACATATACCGCTGTCCGTCTCCAGAACTTTTGCATCCTCCCCAAGGGAAACTCACCAATGTATTTAACAGTGTGAAGGAAAGCTCACTCAACATACGTGTGCTGATGAGTCGGACCTTTAAAAGATAGGCTGTTAAGGCATCACATGCCATTTTAGATGTGGGCAGTATGTGATACTCCACTGAAGTTTCCCACAGCAAAACTTACACATTTTTTAATGATTTAACCTAGAAAACAGATGGGGTGACATGAAACGAGTTTAGTAGAGCCCAAGCAAGTGTGCTCGCTGGCCCAGGGCGGCCCCTGCACCTCCGGCTGGGGCGGGAGACTGTGCAGCTCTCCAACGGGCCGCTTACAGGAGACCAGGAGGTGTTTCAAGCACAGGATGTGCCTGTGGCCGATATTTCCTTTGTTGTAATCGAATCTAAGGGATAAACAGGTATCAGAAGAAAGATTTGTGAACAACGATGTCCATTCCTGTGCTGTTTCTAAATGGCAACAAAATTGGAACCAACTTACGCGTATAATAAAAAGGGTTTAGTGCAATAAAATGTGACCCAGTTACTTAAAAATGGCATTTCAAAGCTTTAAAAAATTAGATCCAAAATGTGTATGATATAATATTTATATAAAAGTAGAAAATAAAGCTGTAGTATATATTATACTATGATAGTAAGTATTAAAAAAAAAGTTTATACACATACAATGTGAATCACAAAGAATAAATAAGAATGTTAATGATGGGGCTGGGAGTTATTTTTATTTCTGGTTCTACCTCTTCCGAATCCTCTGCAATGGGCACCTATTACCTACATAACGAAGGGGAAAAGAATTTTAAGTAGTCATTAGAATAAAATGAAGACCCACTCGGAGGTAATAGGCATGCGAGAATTCTACCACTGAACCACCCATGCAACCTTACTCGGAGGTAATAGGAATATAGACTTCACAGTATCCTTAGGTCTAAAGTTTACTAAACCATTTACAAAGTGGGAACCCTAGTCCCAGTTTCCTGGGAAGAAAGTAGGGGTCCTACGTGAAGAATTATATATTCTAAGATGGGACTTGAACTTGCTGTATAAATCTTATGCATGGAATGGAATGTACTAACAAATTAGTTCCTTATTTTAATAATAATCCTCTTAAGAGGGGGGAAAAAAAACATCAACTATCTAGAAAGTGTTTCCTCTGATGGTCAAATGTATTCTTTCACCTTCCTGATTCTTTATCCTCTCACCTTTAATATTTCTACACCTAGCACTAGCCCATCACTCTTTAGCCACCCTGCATTTAACTCAATCTCACTTTATAACAAGTAAATAGGAGTCATTTCCTCCCAACGTGAAACTAACTCTGCGAATCTGTGTTAACGCTAGTTCTGTAGGCCTGTAGCATCGTTTGCATGCCGCCTTCGGAAAGGCACCGTTTCCCCAACGACCTACTGCATGCCCTTCTCTGTCTAGATCTGCGACGGTAAGACTTCAGCACGCTGCGTGAGTTTTGTCCCTTCTGCACTTACAGATGCCCTTTCGTGGAAATAGGTGGGTTGGGGAGGCTAAGAAGTATTTATAGTGTTTATCTAGATCTGTATGTTAGTATAGTTATAAGGAAACAGTTGAAAGAATTCTTTACTTCCCAGAAAAAAAAAAAAAAAAAAAATTTAAGGTCCCTGGGACTTTAACAATGCTCTTCTCACTTTCAGAGATTTTTTTAATTTCCCTTTTCAGCAATGTGTTTTAATTTATCCCCTCTCCTGAAATTTCTTCCATATACGTGCAACAACCTAACTTTCTGAAATTGTTAATCCTTTCTGAATTTTTTTTTTTTTTTTTTTTTTACATTTTTATTTTGGAGAGAAAGAGAGAGGGAGAGGGATAGTGAGATAGAAACATCGATGAGAGAGAACACTGTCTCTCTGCATGCCCCTCACTAGGGATTGGGGAGATTGAGCCCACAACCCAGCCAGGTGCCCTGACCGGGGAATTGAACTTATGATCTCTTGGTTCATGGGTTGACACTCAACCACTGAGCAATACTGGCCAGGCTTGAATTGTTTGTAAAGCCTGCAAGAGAATTATATCTTAGTAACGTATATTGAGAGCTTACTATTTATCAAGCAAAATGGTAAGTATTTTACATGAGTTACCTTCCTTTATCTTCCCAACAGACTCTGGAGGTGGGCATTATTGTCATTTGTGTTTTACAGATTGGGAAACTGAGGCTTAGAGAGAGGCAGGAGTAAGCTGCAAACCTAGATAGGATGACACCAGAGCTCAGCCAATTATAAACCGCCTCCATTGGCAGAAACGGCAGGATGATATATGTATTTCTAGGTCAGGACTTTCTGACTCAAGTTAGTAAATCACTTGTACTATAATTAACTCTGACATATCTCAAGCACTTTAAGTCATTTTTGACTTATAATATGTAATACCTTAATTGCATTTGAAATTTTAATACCCCAGGCCATTAGCTGTGTGTGTGTGTGTGTGTGTGCGCATGGGTGTGTATCTAGAACAATTTCTAATCGCAAAACCAAAATCAGACTGCTTTTCATCTATTAATTTGAATTATTTCTTCTTTATTCTATTTGTTTGAGTCAAATATGATTATAAGTAATTTCCATTATATGTGATAATCTTCACATATAGGGAGGGCTCTTCATTTAATTCAATTAAAAGAATGTTTCATCCAGTACCATAAGTTTTCTGTCATCAAAATTTGGGATCTTTTAAATTCAACTGACCCCCGTCCCCCCAATTTAGGTAAAATACCCCCAGAGAGCACACTGATATTTAACATCGACCTCCTGGAGATTCGAAATGGACCAAGATCCCATGAATCATTCCAAGAAATGGATCTTAATGACGACTGGAAACTCTCTAAAGATGAGGTAACTATTCCTTCCTCCTCTCTCTTTCTTCCCTTCACTCTTTTTTAGAAATATGTTTTTAAAGAATTTATTTTTAATTTGGGTAAAATGTTATTTATAAAACTTCTTTAAGTGCCTATGCTTTGAAAATGGACTTTTTCATAGGAAATCATTATTTTGGAGAGAGATATTTTGAGACTTTAAAAACACCACTTATTCTTTTGCCTTTTTCTCTCTCCCCCCCAATGCATCAAATAAGGTTGACTATTTTGTCTTGCCCTAAGTTTTTGAAAGATCCATTTTGCCAAGACAATTCCCATTTCGGAGTTATTGCATAAGAAACATAGATATCTCGATAAATAGTTGCCATAAAGCAGTTGTTGTATATCATTAAATGAGCTACCAGTCCAGTCTGTTATATTATTGACCGACTCAATGCAGATGTCTTACAAGTAAGAAGTATTAACGAGACCATCATTTTGTAGGTTAAAGTGTATTTGAAGAAGGAGTTTGAAAAGCATGGTGCGGTGGTGAATGAAAGTCATCACGATGTTTTGGTGGAGGATATTTTTGATAAAGAAGATGAAGACAAGGATGGATTTATATCTGCCAGAGAATTTACATATAAACATGACGAGTTATAGAGATACATCTGCCTTTTTTATACAGCAGCCATCTTTAAAGAGCCGGCAACCGACCGTCTTTTAAAGAAAGTCTTATTTTTTAACATTATTTTATTCCATTCTTGCTTTGTTTTTTTAAATATTTTTTTTCTGAATATTACTTAAAGACCCTTAGGGTTTCTAACTGCCCATTTCTTTCTGGTGAATTACTGGGAAGAAAAAATGTTTTTATCTTTGAATAAGGAGAATTCTGGACCATTTTCTACTTTCACCTATGAAGTCTTATTTGTAACTTTAAAATATTACAATGGGGACCTTGTCCAACATAAGAGCAAGTATATCACAAATCAGCACCCTCTGTTTCTGCTTCCCCCCATTTTCGCTAAGTTAGATACTGACATTTGCAACGCTTTTTGCAATAACCCAAAGCTTACTATTTTCATGTTATAATGAAAGTGTTATCGGCCTTTGATATTCTGCTTGAAGCAACAGGAAGATGGTTGTTGAACTTTATTTGTTAACAGTCACTGCTTTACTGAGGAGATGTGCAATGCTGAAGTGTTTGATAAAGTTAATGACTTATAAGTGTGTATACTTTGAACATTCTGCCCAGGACTGAAGTTATAGTATAAGGCTTGGTTCCTGATTGCTACTGACTTATCATGATAAACAGAACCAATTATTTATGTTTGTTTCTTCCTAATAAAATGTGTCAAAATATTGTAGATGAGGTAGAAAGTTGTATTTAGTCCGTGTTTACTTTTTATGGCTAACCAATTATCCTTCCTGGTTTTTAAATTAATAATCTATAACTAGTGTATTATGCTATAGTAACATATCATGATTAGTTAACCAATCAAAATTTTCCCATTTCTGCCCCATCAGGAAATTGAATAAGGTCAAAAGTTTGATAATTTTATTATGTTTTCTTCAATTGGCTTTTATCCTCAATAGTTTAAAAAGTGTCCAATTCCCCATTTACTAAGAATAGTCTTTAGCCCTGGCCCCTGTGGCTCAGTTGGTTGGGTGTCATCCTATGTACCAAGAGGTCACTGGTTTGATTTCCCATTAGGGTACATGCTTGAGTTGTGGGCTTGATCCCCAGTAGGGGGCATGAAGGAGGCAGCCCATTGATGTTTCTCATTGATCAATGTCTCACTCTCTTCCTATCTCTCTCTCAAAAAAAAAAAAAGTATCATCATTTAGAAAGTGATCTCAAATGTATCACTAACTTTAATTCTCATTGATCTGAAGTCCATGAAAAAAGCTGGTGGACTTTACCTATTTTATAGGTGAGGAAACTGTCATTCAACGAGAGTGTTGTGACTGCAGGCAACAGCTAACTTACTGAGCCAGATTTCAGTCCTCAAGTTCATTATCTTTGCATTTACTGGGTCTACTTTTCTCTTCAGTTTGCTTTCCTAATTTTCTCTTCAGTGTGGGTCCTTATCCTTTGAAGATACTTTACTGGCTGTTTCTGGTGCCACAGAATTCTCCCCATGCTCCAGAAACGGCTCTGGTTTCTTTGAAAAATCTTGGGGTCAGCAATGAATTGCATCAAAAACCATGTGTGGTGTGAGGTTCCCCATGTGTATCCTAGTCCTTTCATTCCTATTGAGCTCTAGATTTTTTTTTTCTTTAAAGAATTATGAACAACTGTTACATCAGATATAGACGACTTTCACTGATTCCGTTTGATGTTTTCCTCACTAACACCTTTTTCTGGCGAAATCAGCTATGGCTAGAAAACTTTTTAAGTTCACTGCCCTTTTCCTTAACCTACAGGAGTTCAAAGTCACCTTACAGAAAGCCTTATGACGCTATTTTGTAGGAACATTACTGACGCTGTCTACTGCGGAGTAAGAGAAGTAAAAAGAATTCTGAGTATTCAGGCAGTATATTCCTTTATCTCATGTGGATTTGTATCAATTCCCATCTAATAAACATCTAGATACAAGTAAGAAATGAAAACATGTCACTAGGTTAGGTTGTCTTTAAGTTAACTGCCTTCTTTGGTTTATTTACCTCTTTGCACCTTTCCATTTGTGGAAATAATCAGACACCAACTGTGACTTCCCATGTGTATCATTGCACTCATCAATCCTGCTAGCTGTGTCCTATTTAAATTTGTAGGACTGTGTTATGGTATTTTTTTTTTTTTTTGAAAATAAAGTTTATTTGGAAAATAATTGCTTTTCTGAAAAATTCTTCACCAATTTCTTCAGTAGTTTCATTGATTTTCTTAACTCTTCTTCCTAGGTTTTATATAAAAACCAAGTGAGGAAGATGGACAGGTAGTTTGAGGACATGTATAATGACGCTTGGAATGAATCTGATTCCTCTGTTTAGATATAGTTGTAAGGAAAGCTGCGGTTTGGTTTGATTGTTTTGAAACAAATAGGCATTAAACCTTGAGCATTGAAAGCAGGAGTTAATAGTGAATGTTGGATACTGGAGTATGTATATGTGGGGTTTCTGTTTGTTTAATGGTGGTAGTTATCACTGTTGTTTTGTGGATTATTGTTTTTGTTGTTAATCCTCACCTGAGGATATTTTTCCGTTGATCTTTTAGAGAGAGTAGAAGAGAGAGGAAAAGACAGAGAGAAACAGCGATGTGAGAGAAACACATTGATTGGTTGTCTCCTGCATGCGCCCTGACCAGGGCGCAGGCCAGGGAGGAGCCTGCAACCAAGGTACATGCCCTGGACCAGAATCAAAGGCTGACGGTCTAGTCCCTGAGCCAAACCAGTAGGGCTATCACTGTTGTTTTGGTTTGGGATTTTATTGTGTGTCATGGGTGGGTGTTACGATGATTAATGCCTACTGAGTAAATTAGTGCTATAAGTTACCGTATGTAATTAAATGAAGTGCTGGGGTGCTGTAAAAGTAACAAGGAAACGACTTCTGAATCAGATGGGAGACGAGCTACTTGAAACTTTCTTTGTGGAAATGAATTTGTATTTCTCATCTTATTCATGATACAGGATATTGCTTACCTCTGTTCTGCTACTTCCATATCAGCATGCTCTCTCCTCCCTGCACTTGAGCGTATGGGTGACTTCTCGGAGTTGTTTATAAACTACAAAAGGAGAACAGAGATGTTATATGCAATGCTATGGGAAAAAAATATTTTTCCACCTTTTTCTTTAAAAAGTGAAGTATCGTTGTATTAATAACCCTACTAGATGAGAGAAAAGAGTCTTGACTTCCTCCAAATTATTCTTCTGTATTATTTTTTTTCCTTTCAGAATTACCTATCATTCATTTCTTTAGAAGAATATACAGTCAAGAGATTTTGGAAAAAAATAAAACTTTTCTTTAAAATATAGAGGTGCCTATATGTTTATGCATGGGCATATTTGTATGTGTATATATAGTGTACTGTATGCCACATACAAACCATATACGGGCATGCACCTAAAGTTTCCTACTAAAGACAGTTATTGAAATGCTCTATCTAGTACAAGATTTCCACTCTGAAATTTTGTCTTTCAGTTTAGCGTGAAGTTGTAATTTAGGTTGAATCACCTAGTGGTTCTCTAGATAAAACCAACAGTAACCTTTTTCTGAGCTTGAGGTGTATCGAAGGGACTCAGTGGCTGGCTATGACACTGTACGTAGGTGACAGTACTGTGTCACAGTACGTAGAGGAAGCTGTATTTGTACTACTTTTCATGGTTATTCTGCACAGCTATAATTACCCCATTTAATTAAGTTTAGCTAGAAATTTAAGAACCGCTTTTTAAAAATCTAGAATGTCTCAAACAGAATACCCGGGGGTGTGATCACAATAGAAAGATGTGGCTGAATGTCACACACAAAACACAGTACATGACAGTATGTAGAGGAAGTTGGGGAACAGGGAAGGGGCACTTGCAGGTTCCTGGAAGCCCCGAGCCCTGGTCTGCGTGTACCTGGGCTGCTAGTGACGCCGCTGCCATGCCATGCCTCCAGCGAGGACAGGTCAGCTACGGATCTTCAAAGCCAACTCTGTGAGCTAGACGAACTCAGTCTTATTTTATGACCTAAAGACAAAAGACATGAGATGTTTACTAAGATAAAATAAAAAATCTGGAGTAAAGCAAATGCTGTCCCCTGGTCTCTAGTAACAGCGGAAGTATATGCCACGTGGGGATTTCTGGGCATTTACAAGTCATGTCATTAACTTACTGGTAAAATCCCACACTGCGGCAGCTCGAGATAATGCCCTTTTTGGTGAATGGTTGCAGGAAAAACGATCCCACACGCAATGTAAATGGAGGTGGCGAGGGACAGTTTTCATTTATCTAAAGAATGAAGAAAGGGTCGGGGGCCCATTGGGGCTTAATTCCAGTTTCTTACAGCATTTTCTCATTTATTTGTTGCAGACATGGTGGAGTGCATTTTATGTTACTGTAACTCTAAATCTAGGTTTTTTGTTTTTTACCTCTGGTTAGAAATTGGGAACATTATGACATTCATCCACATGTGACATTCAGCCACATCTTTCTATTCCAGGTTCCATCCCCAGTGGGGGGTGTGTAGGAGGCAGCCGATCAATGATTCTCTTATTATTGATATTCCTATCTCTCTCTTCCTCTCTAAAATCAATAAAGCTATATTTAAAAAAAAAATAAAACATTGCATAGAGCATAAAGTGGACTGTTTACATAAAGGCAAACTAGGAAAACATATCTGTAAGAAAGAATTGGTGGAAATTCCCAAAGGTCATCACAGAATCCTCAGGCCTGTTCTTTGATAGTCACAAGATGAACAATCAGCAGTTACCCTTTAAATTTTCTGTACAGTTGACTGAAGCCACCAATGGCTCCTAAAGGCAGAGCAGTGAGGGTAATGCATACATAATAACTTAAAAAAACAAAAAAACTAGGTTCAGAACACTGATTAACTGTTATTTGAAATGGAATGGGAACCATTGAAATGACACATTTGAATAATTGAATTTAGAAACCCACCACCTAAATATAATGAATAGGACTTTATACTTTTTGCCAAATATAATTTATGGTTGTCTAAATTAGCAATCTCCAAAGGACTTGATGGATCATTTGAATTCTAAAAATAATTTAAAAATAGATTTTAATATTTATAATCTCTCTGTATTGTCTATATTCAATATGGGCAGCAATTCCTTAGATTGATTTAAGGGCATTCTAAAGGTTTGTTTCTATGGTAACTAATTCAGAAGACTATCCTCCTAAACACGGTTGTCATGGAACTAAGGCAGGTGGTTGACTAATCTTGACTAATACTCTTCTTTCCCATCTTTTAATGGCTTTTCTGTTAAATCCCCACCCCCTCCCCCACCCTCTTTTTTTTTGTTTTGTTCTCATAAGATTATATACAAGACAAGCCAATTACTAAGAGGAAAATACCTCTTTAAGCAATGTACTAAAGGTATTTATTATACATGTCCTTCAAACTCCTCAAAATCATTACATAGGGTTCTTTAGACAATAATACTGGTTAGAAGACAAGGCAACATTGTCATCAATATTTTTAATTGATCATTTTTTAAACTTGTTTACGTTTTTAATATGCTAGATCAATGTAATTATCCCTGCATAATTCTTATGTTAACTTAATGGCAACATATAATAGACACATGTATTACTTCTATACTTAATTTTCTGGCTTGCCTCCGACTTCTTGAGAGGAGAGGCTATGATATGCCTTTTTCATCTTTGCAGCAATAGTGTAATTCCTAGCATAGGTGTTTGATCATGTTTCTTATTAAGTTAGTATGTTGAAGACGTTCTATAAGTAAAGTATGCATTTGTAGTTCTTACAGTTGTGGGTCTGGTTGAGTCTAAATCAAGACACGTGGTTCCTGAGGGACATTAAGATGACAGTTCCTAGACTTCCCCATCTGCCCATGAAGGAGAAACTGCTATCCTATTGTGACAAGTAGAAAACTGGACAAATTACAGGTTTTTCCAAGCTATGTTAAAGTAGAGTATAATTATGAAATCCTATATACAAAAAGCATAACATGCGAAGTGTCTTACCAATAGGTTGACCTTTTAGTTGACGGCTTGACCAGCCACTGTGACACACACTGACCACCAAGGGGCAGGCACTCGGACTGGTAGGTTAGTTTGCTGCTGGGGTCTGGCTGATCAGGATTCTGAGAAAGGGCAGAGAGGGCTGGACACACCCTGGAGCCCTCCCCTATCCCTCCCTGCCGACCAGCCCCCATTGCCCTGATCCAGACTGGGGGAGACAGTCCCAATCAGCCCCAATTGTCGGCCATGCACCAGGTCTATAGTATATAATATTGATATTGGGCTACAGTTTTCTTGGTTGGACTAAATGCACAATAAGATCCCTTTGTGCTCCTAGAGTGTGCGTACCACTGCTCTGTTCTACAGCATGTGCCCCGATTCCCTCAGCCCTTCTCCTACTATCCATTTGCTCATGTGGCAAACCACGACATAAGCATAACATTCAGAAGACATGCAAAGAAGTCTCCTTCCTTCCCTCCATCCAGTCACCCAGTGTTCCCTGGAGGCATCTACTATTACAGTTTCTAATGTATTCTTCCAAAGATATTCTATGCAAATGAGAATACAGGCATATATATATTTTTTTCTTCTCACAAACGATAACACACAATGTCTTGCACATGGCTTCCCTCCTCTACTTAGTATGGGTTGGAGATCTCTCATATCAGTACATAGAAATCTTCCTCCTTTTTAAATATCTGGGTAGCGTTCCATCATATTGTGCTATTTGAATAGTCCCCAACTGATGGATGTTTGTTCTAATCGTTGCTAGCACAACTAACAGAGCAACAGATAACCTGTACGCGTATCATTTCACACCTGTGCCATAGCCGTAGGATAAAGTCCAGACGTGGAATCCTCCAAAGACTATATATGTATCTGCTATTTGGAAGAAGTTACCAGATTGTCCTCTGTGGAGGTTAGAAAATGTTTTGATTTTTGTTAATCTGACAGGTGGAAAGTGCGACCTTGTGTATTTGATTTGAAGGGAAGTGAGGGTGAGCATCTTTTCATGTGCCTGAGTGGTATTACTTTAAGTTTTCCTGTGAACTTTCTCTTTACAGGACAGTCTTATTGCTATTTCATAAAAGGTAAAGTTAACACAGCACAGGTAGATGGTCCAGACATAACCATCTACCTGTGCTGTGTTAACAGGTAGATGGTTATGTCTGGACCAAATAGCTTGATGCCAGTATTCACACACACACACACACACACACACACACACACACACACCCTTGCTGACCTGTTTGTGATACTAAGCCAGGGATGGAATCTGGCTTTGCTGCTTGCTGTGTGACCCTGGGAGGGCTCTTTGGGCCTCATTGCCCACGTACCCCACACAGGGTCTGGCATATCAGCATGACTCAGGATGGCATCTTTAAAAGCAGGGGATTGACTTGGACATGTGAGTCACGGAGGGGAAACCTCGCTCAGGCACTGAAGCCCGTGCACAACCCCCGAATGGCGGCGGAGGCCTGGAGAGGCCGAGGAGGAGGCGGGCCTGGCTCCTGCAAGTCCGGGTTTTCCCTGGGGAGACAGATGCCACCCAGGTGGTGACTTAGAAACAACCATCCAGCCCAGAGCCACCTCCTGCCGGGAGATCCGCCCTGGCGGCAGCTCCTCCCGCTGCCCGCCACCGCCTCCCCAGCCTGGCTTGGTGCTCAGCCCCGGCGCCCAGACAGGCCCGGCCCCGCATGGGGGAGGGGGACGGGGGAGGGGGAGGGCACGGGGAGGCGGGCTGCACCCGCATCACGTGAGCCGTGCAAACTGTGAGCGGGGGCGGCGGGCCGGAGCTCCAGAACGGCCGCTCCGCCACTGCAGCCGCAGCCCCGGATGTCACCGCAGTAGCCGCGGCCGTGGCACCAGCACCCGCAGCGGCATCAGCACCCGCAGCGGCATTAGCACTCACAGCGGCATCAGCACCCACAGCGGCATTAGCACCCACAGCGGCAGCACCCGCAGCGGCAGCAGCACCTGCAGCAGCATCAGCACCCACAGCGGCATCAGCACCTACAGCGGCAGCAGCACCCGCAGCGGCAGCAGCACCCGCGCCCTCGGCCTCAGCATCCGCGCCGCAGAGCCAGCCTGAGCCCGGCCCGCAGGTGAGCCCGGCGGGCGGGTCCGGGGCTCGGGCATCGGCACCGCGTCCCCCGCAGGTGCGCTCCCAGCCGCCATCGCCGGGCCCCGCCGGTCAGGGTGACCGGTTTGTGGGCTCCGGGGCGCAGGACAGGACGCCCCACCCCGGGCGCGAGCACTGCAGCCAGGTCAGACGTGCCCCCGCTCTGCACACCCAGCCCCACCCTGGCCCCCGCCCTTAGCTCTCACCCCCCTTCGCCCCCTCCCGCACACTCTCCCCGTGCTCACCCTGCTTTCCTCGGCTCCCTGTGAAGTTGCTACCCCGTGAGGGCTCTGCACCCTGTTTCTTCCCCCCCCCCCCGCCCCCCCACCACTCCCGGGGTGCAGGGCTCTGGGGGCGCGGGAGCGGGCCTGGCGCTCCCTGGAGGTCACGTACCTGCTCGAGCGGGTTCGCGGGGACCTGGTTGGCAGGTGCAGCCGCTGCCCGTGGCCCGCTCTGTCCCCGTGTCCATCGATGCGGGGTCCCCATCCCTGTCCGGGGACTGCCCTCCCTTCCGGGCCAGCAAGGCTGCTCCTCTCCTGCAGGGACTTAACAGGACTTCCTTCCAGCCACACCCCGAGTCCTGGCTCTTGTGGGGAGAGGGTGTCGGGCAGGTTAACAGGTTAACGCGCGATGGTGCTGGGCGGGGTGGGGGGTGAGGTGGTGTGTGGCGGGGTGGGGGTGGGGGTGGGGGTGCACTTATCCATCCTGAGATGCTCATCCGCTTCAGTTAGCCTCTGCGTCCTGGTTCTCTTGTCTGTCGGGGCCGATCAGGGGTGACATCACTGGTGAGGTCTGAGACAGAGTGTGGTCTGCAAAGCAGGAGCGTGAACTTTAGAGAACAGGCGAGAACTCGGGTTTAAGGTTAAACACGCCCGTTAACAGCCAGCGCCTAAGGAGGCTGTATGTGCTGGGATGCAAAGCCGGGTGAGGGCTCTGCTCAGTAACACGGGCTCCGGGATGTGCCGCTGAATCCTGGCTTGCTAGCGTCCCCAATGAGGACGAGGCAGGCTTCCGGGAGGGTGTGAGGCTCCTGGGCTCCAGGCCTGACAAGCCAGGGCATTCCTTGCAGAGGAGACCGTGTTCATTCAAAATGGCAGCAGGAAGAATCAGGCCGGAGGGAGCCGCAGGGCCCAGTCTCACCGGCCCCCTGGCTGGGGCCTGGGTGAGGGAATCTGGGGAAGGCAGGCTTCTCTCCCCGGGGTCGCTGCAGCAGCCCTAAGGGGCAGGGGGTGATTTGTGCCTCACACTAGATTTTAGGCTGCTGGGGCGGGTAACAGGAAATGTGGGATGCTGTATACTTTATTTTCTCTAACTTATTAAAAGCGGGCGCAAAGACCCAATTAAAACGCTCTGTGATTCTGATCTGACTTCCTCCAGGTTCCGCTGAAGTCCATGTATGTGGCTGCTGATGTCAGTCTGATGTATAACCTCAGTGTTGCTTTGTACCAGCAACTGGCTCTTAAGAGACAGGGGTATCTAGTGTCAACATCGCCCAGGAATAGTAGACATAACACATGGCAGGCCCTTAGAGCCAGTCTCATTGCAGGACTTGATTTAACACCATGACCAAGCACGCAGAATTCATCAGAGGATGGTGAATTCTCAAAAGGTGACTCATTTCAGGATTCCTCCCTCTCTCCTAAGCAGCCTTCCTTTCCCATCTCACTGCCAGCCATCTTCTTAGTTAGGAAGAGGAGAGGCATGAGGCAGCATTTGTTTGGGGGATAATGGATGGAGGAAGATTAGCACAGAGGTCAGGAATGGTGATGCTGGCTGGACGCAGCCCGAGAAAACACTGTTGTCAACTCCCCTGAGGCCAGCAGGGGATGGGGATGAGGGGTGGGGAAGAGAAGGGGATGTGGGCCCAAGGTCATGTAGCTGGTTGGCCCTAGCAGTGAGGACTGAAATCCAGGTCTTGAAACTCTCCCAGTTCAGGATTCCACATACCACCCTGGGAGAATAGGGCAAACCTGTCATGAGTGGCAAACAGGGCACCCCAAAACCAGACTGTACCATGAATTTAAAAATCTAGAGGTTCCTTAACTCAAGCCCATTTAACTGCTTAAGCTGCCTGCGCCTCATGTTCACATTGACTAAACTGCTTCTGTATTTAAACTCCGAAGACGTTATCTTAATCACAATCTTTGAGGTGAAAAATGTGTTCTCTGATTAAAAATCAGTTGTTGATGCATGCAGAGAACCCATAGGCCATTTTTTTTTAAACTAAAAGAAAACAGAGTGGGATATAGAATAGCTTTGGAATGGATCTGATTTTAAGTACAAGTAAATAACAAGCCTGATGTAAAATGCTTTGAAGCAGCACTGAAGACAGAGCCCTTTTCTATCATTTGTATTTGAATCCTCCGAACCATGTACCCGTGACCTGAAAACGTGCGTGGGTTGGTATTTGTGCGGGGGGGGGGGGGGGGGGGGCATGGAAACCCTTCTGGGCATTCGGTGCCTTCACCCGAGGGATCTGCAGGAGGAAGAGGTGGGCGGCTTGCAGGCAGAGAGGATGATTTGCGACGGTGAAGCAGTTAGGAGCCAGGCCTGGCTGTGTAAGTTGAAATGAGGACAGATGCTCATGCCACACGTGCCCTTAAAAAATAAGCTGCGCTAGAGCATGAATGCGAAGATTCAGTCATTGACATTCCCCTGATATTAAAATTCACAAGTTTTTAAAAACATAGGATGTCCCCCCAAAATGTAAACACACGTTAACAGCTTATAACTCACTTAATCTTCACTCCTTTTCAGGTTTAACCGATTTGAAATAATGGGTGAAGCCAGACTAAGCTTTGAACAAAGGAAATTTATCCGAAAGTGCCATTAGACTTTTTTATGGGGACACATAAAAGATAAAGTTTATAGTATAAAACTGGCAGCAATCAACGGTTTTAGGGCACACAAATACCGGATGAAATGTTTGTGATTCCATTGCTGTGCATCATCAGCAGTGCCTGGACCAGACTGTCATCAGTTTGAAAACCGGCACTAACAAAAAGATAATTATTCATTTCTGTGGATTCTTTTAACTGTTGAAGATACACTGTATATTAATAAACACTGACTTTATAATCATTCCAAGTGTGTATACATTTTTGGGGACACCCTGTACATAAACTCATGCCGTTTGTGTTTATTAGAGAACAATAAAAAGTATAGATAATCCAAAGTTATTTGTTAAAAACCACCCATGATCCCTTTATCCAGAACTAACTAGTCTTTATAAAAGTTTGGGACCACTTCATTGGCGTGAGAGAGCCTCAGTTCTGAGCTGTCCAATTCATAGCCACTGGCTAGTGGCCGCAAGTGGCCACAAGCACTTGCAATGTGGCTAGTCCAGATTGAGCTTAAAATACACATCAGACATAACAAACTTATATTAAAAGACTTTAAAACATCTCAGGAATTTTGTATTGATTATAAAGTAAAGTGATATTTTGGATATATTAGGTTTAAGTGAAATATATTATTAAGCATAGTTTCACCAGTTTCTCTTTACTTATTTAGATGTGGCTAGCAGGAAACATAAGATTACTTATATGGTTCACATCTGCCTTCCATGATATTTCCCCTGGATTGTCTCGGTCCAGGTCATTCACAGGCTGTTGGGTGAGGCCTGTGATTCTGTTCATGGGACTGGATGTGTGAGGAGAGAGGCTGCCCAGAAATTGGAGGGGAGATGGCTGGATGGGGGAGAGAGTGAGGAGAGATGGCTGGATGGGGGGAGAGAGTGAGGAGAGAAGGCTGGATAGGGGGAGAGAGTGAGAGGAGGTGGCTGGATGGGGGGAGAGAGTGAGGGGAGGTGGCTGGATGGGGGGAGAGAGTGAGGGGAGGTGGCTGGATGGGGGAGAGAGTGAGGGGAGGTGGCTGGATGGGGGAGAGAGTGAGGGGAGATGGCTGGATGGGGGAGAGAGTGATGGGAGATGGCTGGATGGAGGGAGAGAGGGAGGGGAGGTGGGTAAATGGGGGAGAGAGTGAGGAGAGGTGGCTGGATGGAGGGAGAGAGGGAGGGGAGGTGGGTAAATGGGGGAGAGAGTGAGGGGAGGTGGCTGGATGGGGGGAGAGAGTGAGGGGAGATGGCTGGATGGGGGAGAGAGTGAGGAGAGAAGGCTGGATAGGGGGAGAGAGTGAGGGGAGGTGGCTGGATGGGGGGAGAGAGTGAGGGGAGGTGGCTGGATGGGGGGAGAGAGTGAGGGGAGGTGGCTGGATGGGGGAGAGAGTGAGGGGAGGTGGCTGGATGGGGGAGAGAGTGAGGGGAGATGGCTGGATGGGGGAGAGAGTGAT